CATTAAGTGAACTGCTGAAGAAAAAAAAAAAGTTTATTCCAATAAACAGGAATGAACAGGACAGCATCCAATTTAAAGTCAACAACTGCATGATTTTCTGAGTATCCCTTTTAGCAGTGGTTAGGAAGGCTGTATCAGGCCTAAACTAACCTCTACCAGGCCCTCCTATCCATTGTTCCACAAAATAGAACTACCTGCACATTACATTTTGGTTTGTTTTTTCTTAATTTCCCCTACTAGCCTGGTTCTTTTATGTGGTTCACAATACCAAGAGCTTGCATAAGTGGTGAATACTACACCATATGATATTAGAGGCAAAGAGCAACCATATTTAGCAACGAGAATATAATTCAGCTCATTAGCATGACTTGTGAGGTAGCGAGATAACCCAATAACAATTTCTCATGGTACTTTCTTAAAATATGAAGGGAAATCTGTATCACAGTTATGGAGGAGTGTATTTTCTACATTTTAAATCTCGTACCAAAACAATAGAAATGCACCAATTGAAAGTGCTCCTACAAACAGATTGGCTGATAAGAGATTTGAACAACTAGATTACTAATAGTGTTAACTCACATATGAAGAAGAGGAACAGTTGGATAATATAGGATTACTTTCCTGGTTACACAGTAAGAGTTAAAAATATCACATTTGCGCCTTTTAGTATTCTTCATAAAAGGGAAAGTGGTATATAAAAATTTATACACAAATTAAAAAAATATAAAGTCTTATGTTCTCATTTACATCTATATGGGGGGGAGAGGGGGGTGGGGGGGAAGTGACATCAGCAAGAAACTGAAAATGACCTGATGTTTTTCCAACCTCAATCACATAAGGAAGTTACCAAATTGCGCAGCTTTTTAGCTTTTTTCATTTTTTTTTTTTATTCACACCTGCTAAACCTTAGTATTTGCCAGACTGGTGGGTGACATAAAAAAAAAAATTATTCCTCAAGCTCCATATGAAAGATACAGAATCTACTGGTCTGCTTTCAATCAGCTGAAGTGTTAGTAAAGCAAACAGTTCTCAATTTGTTGTTCTCCAAATTTAACAGCCAAGAATTCAGTATTCCTTAGAGAAAAGCAATAGAAATATTTTAGAGAAAAATAAAACCTTGTATCCAGCTGTTCATTTGCAATTCCGTATGTTGCTTTTAAAAGCTCACTGAAGTTAACTGCTCTCAAGCAGCAGAACTAAGCATTTTATTTTTTAGGGATGACATCTTTTATTCACTAGCCAGTCAATATAGCCTCATCAATGTACCCACATTTTTGCTGGCAGCCCTGGAAGATAAAACATTCTAAAGCAGCCAAGGCATGCACCCAGCTGGCCAGGCAGCAGAGACCACACTGACAGGTCTGCTAGCCAAGTCAAAACATACATAGCAGCAGCATGATCCACCCTTGTCTCAGGTGGCACTCACTTGTGTGTCCTTTCTATTCAGCCAGTGATGTTGATGAGCCTGCAATTACTAGAGCATTTCACAGTTGTAGCCCTTCCCCAAGACGTTCCCAAGAGCTTTTGGTGGCCAGAACAAAAGAGTTTTATAGGAAACATGAATTAACAGACAAACTATCACTATTTTGTTTTCCCAAGGAGTGAGGCTGGAAATGACAATTTATAAAGTTACATATATCATTCCCTGAACAAAACTGGTCAGAAACTACACTTAAATCTGCATGTGAAACTATGTTCTTCAGCTACAGCATTGTAAATTCTATTTAAAAAACCTTAAGGTTTGCAGAGAAAGTACTAGAATACCAAGCGATACAAATGACCCAGCAAATAGACTGCGGTTAAAAAACATGCTGAGTACAAACACCACAGCAAAAATACAACTTCCTCTTCTAAATGTCAGCTCTGCACAACTACTGAGCAAGTAAAAGGAAAAAACACTTTACCGTTTTTATTTAAATAAATTTCTTATTATTCTACCATTTTGATGCAACTGCTTCTCAAAGCTGCTTTTAATGCTACTTTATTTTGCATTTACAAAACCTTTTCACTCAACATTTGACAAACAAAGAGAGGTAATGAACGCACAAAATTTATTTTAATATTTTCTTTTTAAATATTGAAACCAATTTACAAACTCATAATATCTTTTTCATTAAACCATACAGGACTATAAAAACATGAAAACCAAGTAATTAAAATGGTCTAAAATTCAAAATGCTGTACTATAAAGCAAGGTCATAATCTAGAAATATGCCAGTATTTAGATTACAGCATTTTATTAAGAACTGAAATACAGATTCGCAGACAAGCAAAGTCAAATACCTTTAGCCTCCAGTTATCTCCTACTTCTGTTTTGATCCTGTTCAGCCAATTTTCATCAAAGTAAGCTGGATCTCTGAAACACACATACAAAAAAAGTAGAATATTCATTAAAAACAGGTTACAGAAACTGTTATGACACCATGGTGATGATTAAGCTCCTACCTCAGGCTGAGGTTAGATGACTACCTCTATATCCTGCACATGGCCTGTATATATAATTCAGAATGCTGTTACTATGCATTTTTCTAAGGCCTTGCACCGTACTGACAGCACAGCTTCATTACTGTGCCATGAGTAACTAATACTTCGGAGGAAGCTGCTGTACTTGAAATGCATTTTGCCATTTTTTCCCCCCTAAGTTCCTCTTCCTCTAATTTAGCAGCTGGTGCTGGAGCGATATTTGCTTGAATTACTTGAAAGCGTTACAAAAATTACTTTTGTACACAGTCTGGATCCCTACTGCTATACACGGCTTATATAACCACTCCTAAATGCAAAGCTTGAGAATGAACAATACATATGTTGGTTTTATACAGTAAGGAGAATTATCAAGTATCACTGAAGTATTTACTACTGAGAACACACTTTACTATTATTTCATCTACTAAACACTGTCAGTTTTTTCAAATCTCTTTACATGACAACCCTAATTTTTTTCTATCTTCTGCACTTTTGATGAGGCAATGAGTAACGTCTACTTCTTGTAGAGTGTGTACTTCTATTTCCATGAACTTCTTCCCTCTCTTCTTTTTTCTCAAAAGCACCTTCCGTAAGTTGCTTCTTCAAGGCAACTCCCAAGACTTTTTTGCCCCCAAGTTCCAAAATGATCTAAAAGTCCAACATTTTCTACTGTTCACTTAAGACAAATTTTCCTTATATCATACAGAAATTTGCAAATGCTATGATTGGAACTAAGGAGAGAGAATGCATTACAAATAATTAGTTTTAAAAGAGCAGGTAAACATAACGTAAGGAAAAGCTTATATTACATACAATATTTAAAGTTAATATAATCAGGGGGAAGGAAAAAACACCAAAAAACCAAAAAAAACCCCACCAAACCCAAAACTTTCTTTTTTTGCAATCATAAGTCTCTTAAGAGTCAGTGTGATAGGTCACAGAATCATAGAGTTTCATGTGAAACATTATAATTTTTTTACTTACACTGCTGCATTTGCCATCAAGTACTATTAGATTCTCTGCTGTATCCTCTACAGATAGAAGGGTTCTGGATTGAGCACTTCCTTTAAGGGCAAGATGCTACAAGATATTTTTGCAAAAGTTCAAGAAAACTATGAATGTGTCTGGAGATTGAAATGACATCTGTATCACGTATGCTGTAAACCATCAATTTAATCAGTATTTATATTAGAGAACAGACTCCATCTTCTCCAGTGTCTTCTTCACAATATATCAAGGTCTGCAAGCAGCCCATGATACAATAGCAGCAATGGAGAGAGATCACAAACAGCAATGTTTCTCTACTGACACATTCCAATAGTTATTTTTACACATTCTGTTACAGATTCTGGTGAAGATTACAGCGTATTTCCTTTCCTCTGACATGGCATCCGCAAACATATAGCTGGAAGAACAGCTTTAATTACTAGTTAAGTTGATGACTCCAAATTACTCCTATTCAAAAACAGTACAGTTCTAGCACAGACGACAGAATCTTAAACTATGAAACAGAAAAAGCATCTCTTATCCGGAGTTTTATCTGGTTTTGAAACAGATGTTTTCAAATAGTTTTCAAATGCCTTCTCTGCTCTAAGAATACAGGTAAACCTAAGAACAAAATTTGACTCAAATATTTGTAAGATCTACTAGAGATGAAGCCTCAAGTTTATGTGAAACAAATGGGACTCCTTATAAAAGTCTTAATTTGCCAAACTTCCACCTAATCGCAACAAAATCATCTGAATAGTAATGAAAAAAACAAGAGTCCAAGCCCCGTGTAGCCCCACTTGATTCTATCTGAGGTGTGGAGTTCAAAAAGCACCCTAGTATCTTTCAAATGGGTCTTACAGGAATTGCAAACAGCCAAGTGAGAGCCTTGCTTACAACAAATTCACAACTACAAAGTATTTATGCAGTCAAGTAAGGAAGCAGGTATGCCTAATCACCTGTGCTTCACCAGCAAAAACAACCAGCAGGACTATCTTAAGGACTGTATCTTACCTTTGTAAGGATTGTACTTGGTCACTAACATCTTCAGCTGCTTCAAGGCTGCAGTGCCATGACAACACCAAATCTTGACTTAGCATCTTCATTGCAAATCATAACTCTAACAGCAACATGGGTAAGCATAAGCAACAGCTGACCACAAGCAGAATTATATTTGGAATGGCTGGATGGCTAATATTACATACCCAGTTTTCAACAGTAAGGACACCAGCTGAGCAAAACCAACAAGATTTCAGAGTCAGCTCCAAATCACTCCATTCTGGAAGTCTGTACTTCAATAGCAAGTAAGCAGCTTTTCTCAGCTACTACTGCAATAAAAGTAGCCATGGACCAGCAACTGGCCTTCACTATCTTGATGTAAGCCTTGGGCTACCTAAACTTTTATATGTGTCATCAGACACATATCGGGACAGTCCCGTAGAATTAAAACTAAACTCAGTTTTGTAGTCCTCTCCCACAGATCTCATTTTTTTCTGTTTAAGTATACAAATCTCATGGAAGTATCCAAGGGTCCCATAGGCGATAAGCAATCCACTCAATCATCAACATGTAACAGTGGTCAGAATTGTACTAACAATTCTCTTTACAGAATTTCCATGCTGATTACACAGTAATTAGTAGCATATTGCAAAATAAAAAAACCAACAAAACAACCCACTGTACCAGGAATACAACAAGCAGAAAAGCAACAGGTTGGGTACTACATCAAGCAAATCTAGCATGATCATCCTTTTCTCAGCCATAAATCACTTCAGAATCATTCCTGTTATAATTTCATTTCTGTCCTCCAAAGTCTGATCATGGTTCAGAATTAATACCAACAGCAATTCTTTCTCTATCAAACTAATGGAAATCAAATATGAAATGACAGATTTTTCCACCAGAATTTATACAAATACTTTTAAAACGGGCTTCCAGACATTAGATCATCCACAACCCTTGCCACAAGCAAGTCTCACTCTGCTGAATCTTTGGGAATCATGATTCTATCACATTCAGGGTTCTTCAACTCCCTTTGTCCATGTCATTAAGAAAGATGCTGTCATTAACACCATTTCAAATAGCATAACCTAAGCAAATACAAAAATGTGTTGTGGAGAACTGAGCAGCTGTGACTACAAAACCTAGCAGTTTATTTTCAAGGGGTACTGTGTCAGACAAGGACAGCAGAAAACTGATTGGAGCGTCATCATTACCATGAGATGACTTGTTTGAACCGAGCATTTTTAATTCAGTAAGTTCCTCAGCCTAAATCCAAACTCGGACAATCTCTTGCAGAATTATAAAAGTATTTGTATATCATTTGATTGCTGCCTAGCATCTGAATAGTCCTGCAGATAACTGGGACTTTTTTCAGAGCACAAGACACTTATGCTGTTGTTAAGGCTGTTACCACTTCATGTGATGTTGTTTTCAGCAGTGCTCACTTATACCATCTCCATCTTATTTTGTATGCAAATTTTCCTTTATTTAAGCGATCATCTCTCCACATCATAGATGCCAAGAGACAAAAATATTCTTCTGAAGAAAAGCAACCCACAGAGCATGTAGTATAACTCATGATTATTACTCATTTTAACAGTGCTACAGTAAGCTGCTCTGAGAAACGTCTGTTTACAAAAATTTCCCTCCCCCAGTGCTATACAAAAGCACAGCTTTTGTGTTCTGCATGTGTCAAAACATACACAGCCTGCTGCAATGTATAATGTAACAAATGAATAATTCATTAAGAGGGGCACAATGCACAGATGATGGATGAAAATATACACCATCTCTTACATTTACCAAGGCCAGTATGACAGATGAAGAAAGAAATAAAACAAGAGGGACACCTTTTACTAAATAGTCTCTGGAGTAGGATGAAAGGAAAATTTAAAATTGCAGCATAAACCAGAGAATTATGCTGTTCTAGGAATACCAACGGACAGTGAAAAGATAAGTGACTTCAGCAAAGGCTAAAAAAAAAAAATAAAAAAAAATAAGAGGATGAAAGAGGATGTAATACAGAAGCAAGATGTGGCACTTCTATCTGCTCTACACAGCATTGTATGATTTTAGGCAGACAGTCTACTCATACACAGTTCAAACGTTTTCTTTTGCTTCCAGTCTTTACTCCAGGAGGATAGCATTCCAAAATAATCAACACTGATTGTGTACAGGCATCTTATCTTACTGTATTTCATACCAATTCTAGTCAGAGGGACTAGTAACTTTCAAATCTGAACAGAAATGAAATGTCAATCTCGCAGAAGGAAAAAAAAAATGAACATAAACTAAAGCAGAGGCTGAATTTCTTCCTCCAAGATAACAGAGTTGGGTCTGAAGAATCCCATTCAGTAGCACTTTATCTTGAAATTTGAAGATACACGTTTTATGGTAAAAAGAAAGCATCCTTCAGGGACTTACCAACACCTGTTTATAAACAACTGAATCTATAAGCAAAAGGCTTATAGCTTGGTTACATTTCTGCCATTTTATATCACACACTACACCAATACAAAGCTTCTGAAGGTGTCAGTATTTCTCTTTGTACCCTTTTCTTCTCAAAGCCTCTTCTAGCAGTTTTATTATAAAAAATTCTCCTACAATAGTTGTTACTTTTGATGAATCGCCTGTAGTTACAAATGAGCTGGTTGCTACCTAGAGCGCAAAAAGTGTTGAGAACAATGTACAAACAATTGAGAACAATGGAAGGAGCTGCTGGCTCCTTCTGAACACTTGACAAAAGGCAAAGCTGTTCTTTTAATCAGCTGATGAATAAGCAATATTATTCCCTTTTTTCTTTTACTGACAGCAAATCCTACAGTTCTGTGTGGTACAAATTTTCTGTATATCTAAAGCTACTCATTTCCTGAACTAGGAATCACTTTGAAACTGTTCCTCATG